TGTGAAATCACTACTTCAAACTAGTCCTGTAACTGTCAATGAAACTTTTGCTGCTCCCAGCGGGTATTTCGGTCCACTCCTCATTAGCAAACTGCTCCAGGTGTTTCCTTTTTGAAGGATGCCTTCTCCAGACAGAATCTTTCAGCTCCTTCTAAAGATGCTCAATAGAATGTAGGTCAGGGATCATAGAAGGCCACTTCAGAATAGTCCAATGTTTTCCTCTTAGACAACTTTGGGTGTTTCAAGCTGAGGGTTTTAGGTCATTATTCTGATGATCGGAGACTGAGACCAAGCTTTCCGGCACTGGGCAGCGCATTTCTGTCTAGAATCTCTTCATAGTCTTGAGATTTCACCTGTGCAGATTTAGTAAAGTAGCCCCAGAACATAACAGAACCTCCTCCATGCTTCACAAGTAAGGATAGTGATATTTACTTGAAACGCTTCATTTTTTTCTGTCTGTGAACATAGAGATGATAACCCTTGATAAAAAGCTACATTTTGTCTCATCTGTTCATAGAACATTCTCGCAGGAGCTTTTTGGCTTGTGAACATTCTGTTTGGAAAATTCCAGTTTGGATTTTTTATTATTTGTTTTGAGTAAAAGTGTCCTCATTGGTGCGCTTCCATCATGATGAGAATAAACATCCAAATATTAAACAGATTTGTCTAAACATTTTCAGTGTGAGAGATGTTGCTAGTGTAGAAAAATATGACTGAAATTCTTCAAATGGGTTATCAGGGAAGGTGCTATAAATCCAGGTCATACAAAAAAGCACTGACCTGGCTCAGCCTGATTGTTGCCCCCTGATTGGCTGTCAGTTTGGGAGCATCTGCTTCCTGGTGGGGAAGATATTAGTTCCTGGAGAGAAAAAAAAAAACCTATTTAGTCTGAAAGCACAGAGCAGTAAAGAATAATTCAAAACATAGTGTGAAGCTGTCGAAAATTAATCAGTGTCCAACTGGAAGCAGTACCGAGTTCAAAAGTCGTCCAATACCTGAATAATACCTGTGGTGTTTCTGATGTATTAAAATTTGTATTTGTCACAAGCACATATCGTGTTTTTGTGTTCCCTCCACTGGTTTTACCAGATGTCTACTGCATGCTATGCAAGGGGGCAAAACTTTAAAATGCTTGTTATCTTTTTATCTATACTGCACAGTAGGGCCAGACGGATAATTGATAAGACGGGGCAAAGAGAATATAGAAATCCATGATTCCTCAAATTAGTCTACTTCTGCATAAATATAATGTAAAAAAAAAAAAAAACTTGGACTGTTTCTGTGGTAGCAAATCAAATGGAAGTACACAAAATATGCAAAAACTGAATTTTGCACAGATATGTCATTTGAAAATAGAAAAATAGCACATAGCATAGAACATAACATAGCACACACTGGGTTTGGTAGAGCAGGCTAACAACAAGAAAGAGCACTACAAAAGATCCCTATCACTATCGATGTATATGACAACTTGCTTTTAAAAAAACTGAGTTACTACATAATTTATTCATCTGTTTGGGATCAACACAGATTTTCTTTTTTATTGAATTTGAATTTAACTACAGTGCAAATACATCTTGGGTCCTGTCAACATATTTTCCCCCTTTTTTTTTTACCAGGGCACCCTGTACAAGAATGGTTTACAAAATCTACTACCAAGGAAGAATGGCATCAATTTAGTGTTTTCATCTATTATTTATACATTACATATGATTGTTCAATAAATAGCTCTTAACATGTCATTGTAATAATACCTTATAAAGGACTTAAAGTAGGTCACAGACAAGAGGTGAGGAAATGGCTATGAAAGAAATTTGGAAAAAAAAATGTAAACTTTGATTTATTTATGAATATTGGTAATGCTTCTCATTTAAGATTTTATAATAAGCTTAGTTTCTTTAAATTAACTCTTCTTGCTTTTCATAAGGGCCTCAACCTGAACTTTAGTATTTATCTCCGATCTCTTAGAAATTAAACGGTTGTTCTGAAAGATGTATCTCACCAGAACCGGGCTGCGGGCGGCTGGTTGCAGGCTGGACAGGCGGCGGGCCAGCAGCGCCCGGTAGCTGCTTTCCGGGTCGTCTTCCAAACCGACACTGTCCGGCTGAGAGTCCTCCACGATCAGGCACGGGTTCTCCGGCTGAGGCAGGCTGGAGTCCAGTTCGCTTCCACCGGGATCCATGAGTTCAGGCCGAGGGCAGGAGATGGGGGTGGTTGTTGTTGTGAGCTAGAGCGAAGAGGGACATGTTCAGACACCAGACCCAGCCGCTTCTACCTCAGACCGTCCGCTGTTAGCACGTTAGCACTAGCTATAAGCTAATGGCTAATGCTCCGCCCCACAGCTAAACATGCTTCTCCATCCCAGTAAAAAATAATGCCATCAGGAAAGAAAAGCGCAAATAGCTTCCAAGCTGGTTTACTTACCTAAAAAGCTCAATTCCAAAAAAAACATCGACTCACATCCTCGCTTTAGAAGTCAAAACACTGCCCGTGTCGCGGTAAAAATTGAACATAAGCGATGTCATTGGTTCAATGATAGTGACATCACAAAATCCGCGATGCGTTCAATGGTTGTCAGGTTTTTAAGAATAAACACATTATTTAGGGAGTCATTTTGATAGGTATTCGTATTATTAATACTAATTTGATTATGATTATTATTATTATACTTAGCCAGAATCTTGTTGCCGATTTTGCTGATACAGCTCTTGTCTACTGTGTTCAA